TTTAAAATAATTTAATTGGAAAACATTGTAAAATAAGTTTGCATATCTAGATTTTTTTGCAAGTTTCGGATTCTGCAAGTTTTCTATGAATTTGCAAATTCATTACAACTAAATCCTGGATCCGGCTTAACCGAGGCCGCTTGCAAAATTTGCGATAGCTTTATATATATTCTTTAGATTTATATTCAAAACTACATTTTAAATTCAAAATCTAATGTTACAAATCGTTACATACTGGTAAAAATAGTGAATGTGAAAAATTAGATCTTAAACTTAATGTTTGTCGACGACTAGAAGATCAACTTTAATACAGTTTGTCTCAACTAGCAAGCATTATATTCAAATAACCAAGAAACAATGATATTAGATTAGTTCTTACAAATTTTTTTTTTCAAATTGTTCATAATTTGAAACCCTTTTCTTAATTTGTTAATACTTTTAAAAATTTCTAATTCGTTTTGTCTTATGAAACATTTTTACTGTTTAAAGGGACTGTAAAGGAAAAATGAAAGGGGGTATAGGATAAAACCTGAGAATTTCAGGTTTAGAATGATACGTATAAGACATCTATCGTATGTTCCTGTCTCGAGAAATTGACATAAAACTGTGTTAAAATTATACCAAAAAGGACACATGTCAGATTTTGTAAAAAAGTTGTAGCATTAAACAGATCATATTCCACAATTACGCAACCAATCTGAAAACGACTTTATCTCACAGCAACCTGAAAATCTCAGGTTTGCTCCTGTTATAATTATTTAATTTTTATTTTGCATTGGCTGAAGTTCTGATGACGTAATACGGACTTACGGACTATATGTAATAATATTATCAATTATATCTATTAGAAATGCTAAATGCAAAATAAAAAATTATAATATGAGTAAACCTGAGATTCTCAGGCTCCTGTGGGACATAATCGTTTTCAGATTGTTGCGTAATTGTTGAATATGATCTGTTTATTGCTACAACTTTTATACAAAATCTGACATATGTCCGTTTTGGTATAATTATGTCAATTTCTCGAGAACGGAACATCAGATAGATGTCTTATAGGTATCGTTCAAACCTGAGATTCTCAGGTTTTATCCTATACCCCGTTTCATTTTTCTTTTACTGTCCATTTAAATCAATCAAACTTTAAAAACGAAAAGGATCCAAGTACAAGAACGAAAGTGTCGAGAGTAGAAAAATCTTGTACTTGTAAATGAAGTTTCTTGTGTATCTAAAGTAATTACAAAACATTTATCAAAAAGGTATTTCTTCCTTTCAACTTTAATATAAAATAAGATTATCTTATGATCTTTTGGCAACAACTTTACAGATCTCATAACATATTTTGGAGAAAATAAAAATCATAAACTTTGCGACTTTTTCTTTTTCTGCAAATTAAATTAATTGACGAAAATAAAATGATTTACTAAGAAATCGCCGAGGGATTTCTGCAAAAAGTATAAAAATGTTGAACACCGTTAAATGGAATGTGGGACCGAATTTCTCCAGTGATTAAGTACAACAGGATATAGATGGGAAAATAATTAATTTATCGAGTTCTCAACTGTAAGATGTCAAAGAAGGATGTCAAGATCTTTACCTGCTATCTTGCTGTCAAGTTGGTATATATTTATCTGTCAAGTTGCTATCTACATATCTTCCTTATATATTTCTCTATATATATATATATTGTCTACCTTCCATCTACCTTATATCTTTCTACGTGTTGCCCATTTATTTTGATACCTGTTCACCTTCTATTTTTCTATATATTTCTCCATGTCTACCTTTTAGCTTTCTACCTTTCAGTGTCTCTTTCTACCTGTCTACCTACTATCGTTTTATCTCTGCCTTTTATCTTTTAGCATATTTTTTTCTCTAAATTCCTACTTGTCTACATTTTATTGTTGTCATCATCTGTATGCTGACCTGCCATCTTTCTCTACATACGTCTTCACGTCTATTGTCTATAGTCTACTCGTCTAACCGTCTACTGCTCTGCTTCCTATTGTAGTATTTATTAATCACGTTTTTTTTCTTTTATGCAAACATAATTTATAATTACATATATATTTTTTAGTAGATATTATTCACATCTGCATATTTCTTAATAAAGAAGCTGTCTCTCTGCTTTACTGAACTTTATGACCTTTCAGAGCTTAATTCCTATCTGCTACTATGGGTTCAACCCACCCTACAACAATAGATTTTCTTTTCAGCTCAAAGAAAAGTCTTAGTTTTCCTCACTTTCTACATAGTTTCATGAATAATCTTTTTAGATTACAGTTATTCTTAGTTATTGAATCTAGGAACAGAGAAACTAGCTAGACAACTTTAATCAGGCGCTATCTAACTAGCTATAAATATATATATCTACGAACTAGAATGAACCCAGTGGATAAGAAAACCAGTTGGTTAAGCAGGAGCTATCTACAGATTCCAACAAAAGTTAGGTTGGTTCAAGAGTTCATGTATACTCGTTAGGTAGTTAGCTATGTGTATGATAGTTTGGTATGAATAGATAGAATTGTAGTAAGACAAACGAACAATGAAACCTCTGAACTAGAAGAGAACCATCCAAATATCTATCTATCTATCTATCTATATATTTTATCTATATCTATACATATATCTCCGTAAATCTAAGAAATATACTACCTAGTACCTTCTTATATCATTCTGCCTTTTAATTCATATATTTATGAGATAAAACTTTTTAATATATACTCTCTTCTCAAATCCATTTCCATATTTATATCAGTCCTTGGATATAAATCAATAATTCAACAGATTTTTCACTTTATGTATTTACACTTTACAATTACAGCTAATGAATGTCAACTAATTAAAAAATGGTTCGATTTGAGAAGAATCCATGCGTACATATATATTTATCTTATCTAAAGTATAAATTATAATATTGAGTTGAGTGTATATAATGTATCCTGTATCTATTCTCCAATATTTAAATGTATCATTGTGGTGGTGAATATACTCTATAGAGGGATTATTCATTCACATACACATAGACACTAGACATATTTACATATAGTTAAAGACATAAATATATACATAGAAAGTTTAAAATCAGATGGCCGGGTAAACAGGAACACAAGTGCGTAAACAGATAGATACTATATATGTAGAACTGTAGAAAAGTAGACATGTAGAGACAAGACAAGTAGGCTGGTATACACTGATAGTTAGATGTCCAAGTATAAAGCTAGAATTGTAGACAATTTAATCTGTATACTGCATGAAGGTAGATAGGTGGAAAAGAAGTATAATTGTCTACAGGTAGACAAGTCCACATGTCAGTTGACAGTTAGGTAGACAATGAAAAATATCGTAAGGAAGATAGACTCTCTAAGCAGTTAAAATAGTAGATGCAACTCTATATATCAACAGGTAGACTATAACGAGGTAGACAGATAAAAAGGTAGACGGGCAGATATGTAGACACTCGGTTAATTATGTTGGCAGTTCTAAATGCAGCCAGTTAGATAAACAAATCTTATAATTTAACTTTAAAAACCCCAATGATAAATGTTATGAAGGATAAATTGTATAAATAAACTATTTACAAAATAGGATTTACAACTCTTCACTTTTCTTTCTTCAAAATTGTTTTAAAGTTGAAAAAAGACTTAAGAAAAGGATTCATTTGATGATATATACGCTAAATTCTTATTGGTGTTCTGGGACAGTCAATCTGATATTTAAGGGTTATCGTATACTCTCACTTTAATGTATTTCTGGGACACTTACAGTTTAGTAATTGATTGGACTCCAAGTTTAGCAGTGAATTGTTATTTGTGTTGCTTTGCATTTTATCATATTTATGAAAGTTGTTATGTAAAACAGTTATTTTTTTGGACACCCTATACTAGTTAAGGATATTAGAGAACTGGAACCTGCTTCCTCAACTTTTGGACACCCTATACTAGTTAATGATATTTTAGAACAGGAACTTACTTACTCAACTTTTGGACACCCTATACTAGTTAATAATATTAGAGAACTGGAGCTTGCTTACTCAACTTTTGGACACCCTATAGGACTAGTTAATGATATTAGAGAACTGGAACTTGCTTACTCAACTTTTGGAAACCTGATATAAACGATATATTGTATATATGTAATAGCTGAGAAACAGGACCAGCTTTACCTTCAATACTTCAATAACTCACCATTTCAAATATTTCTGTAAGGAGAGCACGGTTTTCTATTCTAATGTTTAATGAAAGTTTGGCAAAATCTGCTGTTTTCGCTCCAAAATATTTTCTTTTTTTTGATTGGGTGATCAGAAAGTTGTTTGTTTTTAAAATTCAGAGAAAACTAGATCAAAAAGATGTGAGAATGATTAAGGAAAAGAAAGAAATCTAAATTCAATAATTCTATATATATAGATAATGTATTTTTTCATCTGCCAATTGTCATTTATTGACTATTTTTGGGTAAATCCAATACTGAATGGATTAGTGGTATAGATAGATAGATAGATATATAGATGGTGTATTTATGCCAAGATATACCTGAACCAGTATTCTTTTGTTTCATCCCAAACCCTGGGGCCACATTTTTATCTCACTTTACAATCAAACCGCCATTCTTCATCAGTTTATTTAGAAGATTTTTATTAGCAAACTTTCTTTTTAAAAGTTTTAATCCAACTTTTTATCTTTGTTTGATTTATTAAAGTTTATAAACATAACTTACTAAATGTTCTCGAGGGAATTGTATTTGAATATGTATCTGTCAAAAGTTTCTGACAACTTTCACCAAAGATTTCTTTTATAGAAAAAACTATTTAAATTAATAAAAGTTGAGATATATTTATATCATTTGGAATACGTGTTAAAATAAGAATAAAAAAAGATTTGGTTTGAATGATATTTAGATTTATCTTTTCCTGAGTCCCAATCATGGAATCTCGGTGACAATTCTCAACTCTGTGATTAATTGCCGGAGGACGGATCCGGAGAAAGATATAAACCTTATCTTACCTGGTGTTCTCTGAGGTTTGGCCTGTTTTCTCCGTCCTGTCAACATCTTTGGACAGCCTGGGTTTGAGGAGGGGGGCGGGGTAGGGTTAGGGCGGGGCGGGTCCATATTCACGTCAGTTACAAGGTTAGGTTGCACGCAGGGCTACAGGGCATACTGGGGTTGGGTGAGTGTGTGTGTGTGTTTAGTTAAGAGGTGCTCACATGACTGGTACGGGTAGAGGTAAGCCGGGACGGTGGTTGGGGCGGCCCCCCTCTTCCCCCCCACCCAGATCTACAATCACCCATAATACTCCTAGGATACCCCCGTCTCCGTCTCCGACGCAGCGCTTGGATACAAAGGTTCGCCAATTGTTTGTTTTTGTCGGTGCTCTCGGTGTATATGTATAGATGAGGCCCCAACCTGGTATATCGACCAACCCACCTAGCGACATCAGCGCCACACTATGCAAGCGGGAGGCTGAGGAACTAACACCTGGGGAGAGTATTGGGTCTAACGGAGGCAGAACAAGGATAGGAAGGAAGAAAGACAGGGATTGATGATAAAGATAGAAAGATAGTGTGGAGGTAGTTAGGTAGGTATAAGATAAGTACACGATGATAGCTGAGCCATGATATATTAGGTTTGATATATCTCATATATATTGGAGAATAAATATATCATATATAAAACACCAATTTCTTTATACAAAGAAAGAAAATACAAAACAGCCAACAGGAAAACTCAAAATGCTAAAACAACAAATATTTTCTTTTTGTCTAAATATCTTTTTAAGTGGGTTATGACTTCAGGCGCAGACATCTGTTGCCTTAGTGATAAACAACATAAAGCCTGTCAAAATTAACGTGCAGTCAGGAATCAGGATATTACATTAATTTAATTGACCAAAGAAATGACCTTGACTGAAGTATTCAAAACGGAAAGCCTCAAAAAAATCTAAACTAACGGGTTTTTAAGAAAACTTGATGATGTTTCTGATACTGGCGATCCTCCTGAACTTGGATGGAGGGAGTTTTCTGCCTGTTGGAGTCCGACAATGATAAGTTCATTCTCGATTCTTACAATTGTTCCCTGTAGTGTGCATGTGATCTCTAGCTTTATAAACATTATTTTTCTAATTTCAAGCTTACTTTATTAATGCTCAGTTATAATGTATATTCTTCATTTTACCTTTTCCATCCTTACAATCTCGCCTGTTTTGTACTTGGCATCTTTTTCTTGACAATTTTTTTCCAGCTTACCTTCTTTATTCTTAACGGAGTAAAATTATAGTGGAAACTGCACCTAGTGTAAGGTAGGATGATATTAAGAATTCAGATTCTAGTTGTAGGGAGAGAAATCTCCAGATATTTATTGCAAGGAGTCCCAGGAGAACTAAATCCGAACAATCACTGCTACCAGAGGTTCCGAAACTTTAAACTTTGTAGGAACGTCCATATCAATTTTGGAGTTTTAGATTAAATATATATAATATTTTAGAAGTACATTTATTGCTTCTAGTTGTAAATACATGTTAAATAACTAGTGTATAGCAGGAGAGGCAGTTGAATAAGTTTAGCTCCAGGAGTAGCTAATGTGTAGCTTATTAGCTCCAGGATTAGATGATTGTAGGATAAAGGAATAGGGAATTTGTGGATAAGAATGATAAGCTTGAGATTGTCATCTTCGTCCAATTTTTTTAGCTGTTTCCGACAAGGAGGCAGTGTTTTCGGCCATGGTTCGTTTTTTGTCTGGGGTCACCACTTTGGAAGAACATTTATTGCTTTTTGTTGTAAATACATGATAAATAACGAGTGTGTAAAAGGAGAGGAAGTTGAGTAGTTCTTGTCTGGGTCCAGGATCCGACACTACTGAAATACAATCTTATGATTTAAATGAATCCGTAATTACTTTTGCAATTTGACAAAGGCCAGAAGTAAGTTTAACAAGAAACAATTGTTTCTTTTGTCCATCTTAAAAATTAAAGCAAATGTTCACTTCAGAGCTATTTTTAATTAAAAAAAATCATAATACAGTATCAAATACATTACATAATGTGTATTTCAATAAAAAAAATTATACAATTGTTTAAGATGAAAAGTTTTTGAAAAAACACTAAGGATAAAATCAAAAAGAAAGAAAAAACTAGATACTTACCATTACGATGTTTAGATTTAGAGTATATTATAAAGGATCCACATTATGCAAACAGATAAACAACAAGTTAGAATTTGCAATGGCCAAACTTTTGGTTCAGTAACAAAAAAGACCGACGTATAGTTGGGGCTTGGCTAAAGGGAAAAATTGTAAATCCGGTCTTACAAGGAGGCTATCTCTTTAACGTGTCTGTCTCATTTAACGATATGAACCTAAAGCAGGTATTTTGGCATTGGATCAGAGTCTTCCGTTTTATAGCACTAGTGGGAGAGGTCAAAATAGTTGCGGTAGAGTGATCGAATCCATAGTTAGCATACAGGGATATTGATTGGATATAGGGATATAGTTAGCATACAGGGATATAGATAGGATACAGGATATAGATTGGATACGGGGATATGGGTAGGATACAGGGATATTGATAGGATACAGGGATATAGATAGGATACAGGGATATATATAGGATACAGGAATATAGATAGGGTACAGTTATATAGATAGGATACAGGGATATAGATAGGATACAGGGATATTGATAGAATACAGGGATATAGATAGGATACAGGGATATAGATTGGATACAGGGATATATATAGGATACAGGAATATAGATAGATACAGGAATATAGATAGGGTACAGTTATATAGATAGGATACAGGGATATAGATAGGATACAGGAATATAGATAGGATATAGAGATATAGATAGGATACAGGGATATTGATTGGATATAGGGATATAGATAGGATACAGGGATTTTGATTGGGTACAGGGATATAGATAGGATACAGGGATATAGATAGGATGCAGGGATATAGATAGGATATAGGGATATAGGTAGGATACAGGAATATTGATTGGATATAGGGATATAGATAGGATATAGGGATATAGATAGGATACAGGGATATTGATTGGATATAGGGATATAGATAGGATACAGGGATATAGATAGATACAGGAATATAGATAGGGTACAGATATATAGATAGGATACAGGGATATAGATAGGATACAGGAATATAGATGGGATATAGAGATATAGATAGGATACAGGGATATTGATTGGATATAGGGATATAGATAGGATACAGGGATTTTGATTGCGTACAGGGATATAGATAGGATACAGTTATATATATAGGATACAGGGATATATATAGGATACAGGAATATAAATAGGGTACAGTTATATAGATAGGATACAGGGATATAGATAGGATACAGGAATATAGATAGGATATAGAGATATAGATAGGATACAGGGATATAGATAGAATACAGGGATTTTGATTGGATATAGATAGAATACAGTTATAAATATAGGATACAGGGATATATATAGGATACAGGAATATAGATAGGGTACAGTTATATAGATAGGATGCAGCGATATAGATAGGATACAGGGATATAGATAGGATACAAGGATATTGATTGGATACAGGATATAGATAGGATACAGGAATATAGATAGGGTACAGTTATATAAATAGGATACAGTGATATAGATAGGATACAGTGATATAAATATGATACAGTAATATAGATAAGGTACAGTTATTTGGATAGGACACAGGGATATAGATAGAATACAGGGATATAGATTGGATACAGGATATAGAAAGGATACAGGAATATAGATAGGATACACAGATATAGATAGGATACAGGAATATAGATAGGATACAGGATATAGATAGGATACAGGGATAAAGATAGGATAAAGGGATATATATAGGATACAGAGATGTAGATAGGATACAGGGATATACATAGGATACAGGGATATAGATATGATACAGGGATGTTGAAAGGATACAGGAATAAAGATAGGATAAAGCGATGTGGATAGGATACGGGATATTAATTGATACAAATAATAACCCTGTATTTGAAGAAAATAGATATACAGAGAGGATACATGGATAAAAATATGATACAGAGATAGGATACAGGATTTTAGAGAGGATAAATGGATAAAAATATGATACAGAGATATAGATAGGATACTGGATTTTAGAGAGGATAAATGGATAAAAATATGATACAGAGATATAGATAGGATACTGGATTTTAGAGAGGATAAATGAATAAAAATATGATAAAAAGATAAAGAAAGGATAAAGGATTATGGAGAGGATACAGGATACAGAAAGACAGGAAAACATGAGTGTTTATAATTAATCTATAAATAAAAATATGATATCCAGGGGTAAAGAGAAACGTCAGAAAGAGTTCCAATGCAAGATAAAAAAAAACCAACGAAAGTTAATATTACATATAATTAAAACTTCAAATTCTAAAAACAACTAATCCAAAAACATTCCTATTTATTTATTTTACGTTAAATGTCCAAAACTTTATATTAAATGATGGTAATCTTTACTGAATATTGTTCAAGTTACTGAGAACAGGGGGAATATAAGGTGAATTATTCCCCCAGGACAAGTAAATATCCCCACTCCCATTTATTTATCCGTTAATGTTAGATTGAAACACATGTTTGTCTGTCCATTATTCAAGAGCTTCCAAATCAAGCAAGTTTTGGCCGAAGTTTATTTCGAAGCACCAACTCTCAACACTACAGTTCTTTTTTCTATGCAAAAACAAAAAAAGTTTCAATGTGATCGTTTTAAAATTCATACTTAACTACATTTTTGACAAAAATTTAGCATTTTTGCAAGAATATTTTTAAATATAAAGAAATTGAATCTTTGCCACAAACTCTGCTTTTCTAATCCCTGTATCTACTGAACCCAATGTCGTGGAGCTTAGATATTTCAAACTATGATTTCTGTTATAACAAATAGTCTAAGTTTGAAATATCAAAAGTTTACACTATCAGGTTGCAAAGTTATAGGGATTAGAAAATTTGAGTTTGTGACAAAAACTTAATTCCTTTATAAAATGAGATAAATAATCTATATCAGCTCACGGAATTTGAGAAAAGGTATATTACATACCCGGATTCAAAATCAAATTTAAGAAAAGGTATATAACATACCCGGATACAAAATCAAATTTAAGAAAAGGTATATTACATACCCGGATGCAAAATCAAATTTGAGAAAAGGTATATTACATACCCGGATGCAAAATCAAATTTGAGAAAAGGTATATTACATACCCGGATGCAAAATCAAATTTAAGAAAAGGTATATTACATACCCGGTATATTACAGGTATACTACATACCCGGTATATTACAGGTATATTACATACCCGGTATATTACAGATATATTACATACCCGGATGCAAATTCAAACTTTGTACGATGATAAATGTTGCAAGGTTGAAAATTCTTAGGATTGATAAGGTATATATTCTAATCAGCAATTTATAATGTACCATGAGAACTCG